AACCAATCCAAAATTTAAATCACTTTGGTGGGAAAAAACAAAATCATAAACTGTCGCGGTTCAAACTAACAATTACCCTCATTTGAGGGAAGCAGATTCCGGGAAATCGCAAATATGACTCTAAAACTGAAAGCTATGGAAAGAAAGACCATAAAATAAGGAGGGAGTTTGCTTGCTTGTTTGAAATTATTTACAGAAATATTTAGAAACAAAGTCGCTGAAATTGTGAGCAATGTTCACCAGTGGAAGGGGAGCACCAAGGAGCGTAAAAGATGGGCAACAACAACAAAAGAGAGAGAAAAAGAAAAAAAAGATGGGTAATAGCCCAGTGATGTTATCTGATTTAAATGGCAAACATTTAAGGCTTTCTGAATAGATGGATTATGGTCATTTTCTCTCAAAGCAAAAAGGGAAAAGAGATAAAATAATCTCACTGCAGTGAAGGCTCACATTCAGACGCATGTCTGTACTACTGAGAAAAAACTGCTCCACAGGATTTCCAAAGTTAGCTGGTGGGCTGATGAAGTCAAGGTCAGCAGTTCAAACTCACCACTTTTGGGGAGCTGACAAGGCAGTTGACTCCCATTAAGATTTACAGCCTTGGGCATGCTGGGTAGGGATGCCATGAGTCAGGATCAACGTGATGACTGTGGGGAACCTTTACTGAAAAAGACTGCCCCAAGTTCTTCATATCGTGCAGTTTGGGGATACCAATCTCAGATCTTTAGGTTACTATCAGTCCAGTGCATAATCCACTGTACCACTAGGGCTCATTGGAAGGATATAGATATTCTTTTTTTCAAGAAACTGGTAAGTTCCATAAACTTTACAATTTTATTTTTACCTCTGTCTATAATTTTAAAACCGTTTTGGCGGTATGGTCCTTTTTTTTTCTTTTTCTTAAATGTGGTTATTGTTACATTAATACAAAGTTACAAATATAAACCTCTGAAAACACACTGGAGGGTCAGCTTGATGTTCAGTTCTGACTTGATGGCACACAACTGCAAATACAGAATATTTTCTTTTTCCTTTTTAACAGACTGTGGTTGTGGTGGTGGTG